GGCGTACATGTATCTGCGCAAAGGAAATCCATGGTTGCTATTAGTAAACAATTAAATTTCGAAGTGACTATACAGCTCGCAGCCAGCTATTTAGTAATCTGCCGGCTATATAGTGACTAAGGGTAAATGCTAAGTCAAACAAAACACAACCCGACCCAGACTGCGTTTCACTTTCCGCACACAGTGCCTACCATACACTCTAACGGCAAGCTCGGTGAAAGCTAGCGCAAAGAAAAGTTTTTTATACTTAACTATAGTCACTATAATAAATACCCAGCTGCCGGCTAGTCACTTTGTTTATATTTTATGATATGACAAAGAATGTTCAGATTGCAGTCTCTTCTCTACTGCAATCAACTGTCAGTCAACTGCCAGTGGCACACACTAGGAGGGGGGGGGAGGGAGGCTGAGCCCCTCCTATAACTTTGATAGACTGTAAAAATCTTGTACCAAATAACACAAATCACACTTATATAATAGTACCATTAATTAAAACATTGTAATTTAATACCACTAATTAAAACAGTGTTTTGAAACCTAGTTTTTTACAAAATGTGTTCTCAGAACATCTTAAAGCCTTTTCGTGAGTAACCAGGTAATGCATGGTTACTCACGAAAAGGCTTTAAGATGTTCTTCGGGCAATGATAAGCTTATTCATGTTCCGATACCATCATTTACAAAACTTGCCAGTAATACAGTACCCGAAACTCGTCGAAACTTCATATGCATTGACATTGAACTAATTATACTAAGCACTCACTCTCAGTGAAAAGAGTGGATGTTCGGAATAATCTTGATGTTAGCTTGACAAAAATAACATCACTACCAATCTAAAAAAAAAATAGTAAACTTATATTTTAAACAAGGAAGTCGAATTCATATTCATGTAATTAACAGATTATGTCTATATAGCTCTCCAACTTTTCTCCTTATTATGTACTTTATTCTTACTAGTGAAAGCAATATTAATGTATTAATCTTCATATTCTTGTAAATACTTTTACTGGCACTGATTGACACAATATAAAACTTTGCACTGGACATTAAACTAGGGCCTTACCTTAAAAGCCTATGAAGGTTTCTTTAGACTCATAGCCCTATTTATAGTTGTAGCTTTAATACTTTTATGTAAATAATTACCATAATGATTGGGTGAAATAAATAAATTAATCTTCTAGGATAAAATAACAATCGTCACTCTGTAGAAAGCCGCCATCTTTGTTTTACGGCCTGTTCGCAGGCATACAGCCCTAATTAGTCCACCTGAGTGTTTAACGCACGCACAAATTCGATAGCATAGTATCTAGCGCTCCGCGCAGACACAAAAATCATACGACACATTTAAGATTTTAATATCGTATTTCAGCCGCGTTTATACTGTTTGGCGCATTCGCTGCGTTATATTCATTTATATACACAGAAAAGCATGTCATTGTCCATGCAGACCATAGGCAAAATGCATTTGTCAACCACATACCAAATTTAAGCAATCGTTAAATCATCGCGTATAATATTAAAAATAAAAGCGCCGCATATTATTAGTGCTCGAACCACTGCGTATAATTGCAAAAGCACCGCGTATATAAATGGCGAAAGCACCGCGTATAATATTGGAACCACCGCGTATAATGGCGAAAGCACCTTGTATAATGGCGAAAGCACCGCCGTATAATGCTAAAAGCACACAACAAAATGCAGTTTGATCACTCTAAGCCAGCTATGGCTTTCCATAAAAGAAGACCAAAGATGAAAGATGATCACATCGCCTGTTTGCCTTATGCCTGACCGCGCTGCACCACGGTTAAAATTCACTGGTACCGTCATGCAATGCGCCAAATAGAAAATTTTGATTTCGACCCACAAAACAAAATTAGGATCTGCTGCCTTGCTCGCTCGCTTCAGGCTTGCTCGGTGCGGCAGCAACAAGCTGTCAGGAAGTTTGCTTTGAATTTTGTTAACCCAGGGTTTTAACTAACCCAGCATTGAACAACTGGCCCCTGCATGGCAAGATCTGAGACCATAATGTTGGTAATTTTACAAATTTAGTAGTAAGAATAATCAAATATGAAACTATCAAATCAAAATATATATAATTTGCGGGGGTGCAAAAACTTTTAGGGGCGTTGCCAAATGCCTCTTGGGGGGGGGGGGCGGTGCACCTCCCCAGAAAATCTGTGCCTGAACTGAACATACAATTAAAGCTTTATTAATTTTAATTTAAACAACTGTATTTTAATGAATACATGCTTCCAGAAAGTATATCATCTTGGTTATAGGCTGTAGAGTCTCATTTTCATGATTGAGACATGTCAAATACACAAAAACGAGGCTTCATAGTCAAAGTGGCATACTTTCTGGAAGGATGTACAGTATTTGACTTTTTTGTAGCCTCTATTAACTAGCAGTAAACAATTAAAAAATGTATAATTTTAATTCTTCCTAATTTAGTGGAGCATGATTGTGCTCTGTTGTAAAAATTTACACTTCAATAAAGTTATTATAATCATATAATTATATATTATGTTGTTATGGTATTATAATTATAACTTCATTTTGATGTTCTGCATGTTGATGCCTGTGCCATCTCTTGTGTTGCATTAAACAGATAATTTCTGCAAAATAAAAGATGACATTATTATCATGATACATTTATATACATCTTTATACACCATGAAAATGAAAAATATCATATGCATGTATATAGAGGATATTACACAGCAGCGTGAAGATATGATTTTTATCTTCGAGTGGTGAAAACAATATTTTACGAACGAGCACAGCAAGTTAGTAAAATATTGTTTTTAACACGAGAAGACAAAAGTCATATCTTCAAACCACCATGTAATGTTCTGTTTATTATATAGTCCCAAGCAAAAAATTGTGAAATTGGGAAAAGTCATGTGATCGATATCTTCATGCACTAGTGAAGATATGGAAAATATTTCAATGTGTGTTTTTCAGTATCTCGCTCTCTACTATATAATAAATACACATATATTAACCCTTCAAGTGGCAATGTGTCTTACTGTATTAGTAGTATTACTGTATTATTTTACAGGCTAATGTCAGACAATTTTACTAGTCAAGGGGAGAGCATGCTGCCACTATGGTGCAATATATCTGTTTTTACCAAAACCATAATGATCCCAAGCTTCAAAATGAAGTGTCATGTTTCCATATTCAGGAATGGAATTCTATTATTAGCAAATTTCATCATAGTTTCTCACAGACCAATCAGACATCACCTCTTCCAATGTTAAAAATGTTGTACGTAGCATATTCTGAATTAATTAGTTATATAGTGCATCAATAGTGATCACTTATCCCAACAGCTTGTGGGCAATATTTTTTTTCTAATTGCCATGTAACTATCACATCATACTGTGTATGTGGTTCTGAACAGACAATGGCAAAGTGAGTATCTATTTTCTACCCCAAGACTCTTCCCTTTGAGTAAAATAAGAATGCCTGGGTTCATTTGGGCACATTGCTGCTTAATGGGCTGACTATATCTCAGGGGCTGCATGCTCATTGGCAGATAGTATATTTAACCCACTGAGTGACGGCAGTGAGCAGTCTCCCCTTAAAATCGTCTGGCAGTACACAGATAGTGTAAAACAAAAAAAGACAGTCTCCAGCCCTTACGAAAATTTCCTATAGGAATTCCTATAGGAAAAATTCCTATAAGAATTTGGGACAAAATTCCTATAGGAATTTTTCCTATAGGAATTCCTATAGGAAAAATTCCTATAGGAAAAATTCCTATAGGAAAAATTCCTATAGGAAAAATTCCTATAGGAATTTTGTCCCAAATTCTTATAGGAATTTTTCCTATAGGAATTTTTTCTACAGGAATTCCTATAAGAATTTAATAGGAAGAATTCCTATAAGAATTCTCAAGTCTAGTCCCAAATTATTATAGGAATTTCCTATAAGAAAATAATTTATTCTAATTTCCTATAAGATTTTTGGTATTCCTGCAGAAATTCTAGAATCTAGATGAAATAATAGTAAATGACAGACAATGTTGTTCATCACTCTTAATTTTTTAATGCAAAAAATAGATATAAATATTAATAAATACTAATTAATATTGCAAATATAAAAATTAATATGAGAAATTGGTTATAATTATAGTTTTCACCTGTTGTGCCAAATTAATCGTTCTACCTCAATGCAATGCCATATGATGCGTCCTACTTTATTATTTTAAGTACTCTGTCTAACTATTTTACTTTGTCTAATGCCAGACTATTTTACTCTGTCTAACTCCAGACAATTGTACTTGAATGTCAAGGAGAAATGCTGGCTCCGAATGGGTTAACTAGCCTATATTCCTATATATGTGTCTAGTTAACCAATTGAATCACATTGCGCCCTGATGCGCCTTACTTTATTATTGTACTATAGTTTACTCTGTCTAACGCCAGACGATTTTACTCGTCAGAGCGCTGCACTTGATGGGCTAAACCATAGGTAATAACCATAATTGACATTTAAAGTTAAGTTTAAAACCGGCCTCAAAACATAGTCCTCAAATAAGTTCTTGTTCTTGTTTGCTTTTCTGTACTTTGCAACACTTTCCCATGTTGTTTATATTTGTCCTCATATGTTGACGAACCTCTGAGGCCTTACATCCATACTTTGTTGATAGCTGTAAAAAGACAAATTCATTTATTTTATGTATACCATTCCAATGTGTTTTGTTAGCCCATTAAATATGCCCAAATGCACCCAATTTATTATTTTACTCTAAGTGGAGAGTCTAGCACTTTAATAGAATAAACACAGTAAAATAATAAAGTACTAAAAGTAGGGCACATTGCTTCTAAATATGCCACACAGCAGCTTTTGCAGTTAATTATTAACCTTTCCATGACCAACATTCATTTTGATTAGTAAAATCATCTGATAAATATCAAAGTACTGAAAGTGGGGATTGAGTGTTAAGCCTAGTTTCCATTTGGTCGTTAGTTGTCGCTGGCACGACAAGTGGCTGATGTAATAGAGTGTCAACAAAAAACTCTCCAATCATTAAGACTGATTTGCATATCACACAAACAAATTATTATATTAGACTATTTCACATCTACCGCTTGTCGTGCCAGCGACAACTAACGACCAAATGGAAACTAGGCTTTAGGGTGAATTACATCTTAATGTGCTAACGCCAAATAATGCAAAATAGTCTGGTATTAACAGGGCAAAATATTGAGCTTTGAAATAGAGCACATTAGTGTGAATTTGTGAATTGGGTCTTAATGAGTTTACACAAAACACAGGGAGACAGCAAGGTAACCTATCAAAGTTGTCCACTCTCTTTCAAGTAAAATAATCTGGTGTTAGACAAGGTAAAATAAAAAAGTGCTGAAAGACCTCTCAAAATGAAAATTGTTTAATTTAAACAAAACATATGAATAAATACTGCTGCTGATTTGAGCAAGTAGTTAAATTTTCTATAGGCATGCATTAAATATGGCTGACAATTTACAATTAATCTGGCATATACAGTTGGCACTTGGGATATACAAATATATTAATAAACATGGATAAGACTGATTCAAGTATAAAACTTTTATAGTAGCATTTGTTGAAGTATAAACGCTATAAATATATTTATATCAGCATTCTAATTCCGTTTATATTGTCGCGGCAAATTCAAATTTTATCGAACCACATGCTCGAATTTCACAAAAGATTGGAGGTATTTCCTTTATAATTTGCTTTATTATAAATAAACTAGAAAATACATGCATGCAGAAACCCTCGCCTTCCTGACAAAACCATTGTATTTTCCGAACATGAATTAGTTCTAAAGTAGTTGTCGTGGTAACACGATAATTCTTTAAGAATATTCTTACAAACGAAAAATCGCCTAAAAATATCACTTTTCATTACAAAATTATTAATTTCCCAGCATATATATGTTAGGTATGTTATTATACGTAATATAAGCCTCAATATAAGGTAAAATTCGACCAGAAACGCTTCGCAAAACGTTTTAAAGTGCTGTTTAAATAAACTGCCTTTAATTAAATGGCTTTATCGATAAACTTTGAGTTGCAATAAAATGATTTCAAATTCTCGCTTGCAAATAACTTTGCTTTCTTTTTTATTTAAAAAATTCAATATAATAAAAAAGTGAATCAATATTAAAGATACACTGAGCGAAATTATATTCTGTCTTGTTCAGTTGTTTCATATGCGCAAAGGCCGTCGGGTTTTAAAGCCATTGTAAAATCAATATTTAAAACAAACTTACCTTCGTTAACGTCGGCTCCCTTCTTTTAGCCGATTCTTTCGAAGTTTCTTTCTGAGAGAGCTTTTGAAATTTACAAAATATTGCAAAAATGCGAGTAAAAATGAAATATATTCGCACGAAATTTATCAATCATGAATCATCAAATCAAGAAATGTTTGCTATTTCGCTGTCGTCATGCAGTCGTTATATGCAAACTTTAAATTGGACCAATCAGTTTCCGCTATTCATGACAGTCCGCCATATTTTTGAGGTCAGTGAGGATGACCACCCACCCAACACCGTTGGTGACCCACGCCCGCGATATTTGATGAACTTTAGACTCCGCTAATGCTTTCGTTTCCCCGGGTGTAAATAGCCGGGGGGAATTAGTACCCTCGCACGGCGCTTCGCGCCGTCGGCTCGGGGAATATAAACTTATTCTTACCTGAACATTATGCAAACATCCCTGATGTATTACTAGTGAAAATCCGGTTGAATCCCATAAAAAATAGTTCTATTTTGCACATAAACCATTGACAAACACCGACTTGAAAAAATATCGGAGGTGT